GCTCAAAAAAAAAAAAAAAAAAAAGAATTTCATAGGAAAGCCTTCACAAAATTTGTAGTTACCAACCCATACTCTCAAATTCAGAATAATTGAATTATATAAACCAGAAAACATAAGAACCAACAGGAAAAAAAAAATGTTAACAAGAAAATCAAGGGTACAACTCTCTTTTTTTTTGTTGTTTCTTTCTTTTTTTTTCTTTTTTAGTCAGAGTCTTACTCTGTCACCCACTGAAGTGCAACAGCATGCTCATGGCTACCACAACCTCAGCAGTCCTCTTGCCTTCGCCTCCCAAAGTGCTGGGATTATAGCCATGAGCCACAGCGCCTGGCCTGGGATCCAGTGTTTAAATATTCCTTAAAATTGATATTTTGTTTCTATTAGGGAATTGGCAACAGTGGTGAAATATGGTCTTTTCTTCTGGAATTCCATTTAGCAGAATAGCAAAATGTTGTTGTGGTAACCGTAACCAAAGAAAACAAAGGCTTATAACTGAATTACTTCATGCACTATTGCTTAGTAATAGATAATGAAAGTCAACTGTGAAAAAAGATCACCATCAAACATTTAATAATTTCCAGTAAATATCCTTTGGATCACAATCTTCTGGGACCTCATTTTGGCTCTTTCATAAACATATCTTAGCGCCTCTATTCTCTCAAATTCCACCTTACTGCCTATTTCTTGTGCATAATAGTTGCACATATTACTATTCTGCACAAATTACTATTAAATGGAATTTATTCTAATAGAGTCTTTTTTTTTTCTTTGAGTCAGAGTCTCACTCTGTCACCCAGGCTAGAGTGCGGAGGCACACTCACGGCCACCATACCCTCAACCTTCTGGACTCAGGTGATCCCTTCGTCTCAGCCTTCCAAGTAGCTGGAACTCCACACCCAGCTAATTTTTTGATTTATTGTAGAGACAAGTTTTTGCCATGTTGCCCAGGCTGGTCTCAAACCCTTTGGCTCGGGCAGTCCCCTCGCCTCTACCTCTCAAATTATAGGTATGAGCTACTGCACCTGAGTCTTTCTTTTCAAAGGAACCATTTACTTATTTGTAGATCCAAAATACTGTTGATTCATTCAAAAAAATATTTATGGAGAGCTCATCGAGCCCAGCTGCTTTAATTATTTATAATAATGCTAATATATCCCAAGAAAACAGTTCTCAGGTTCTGTTAATACCAGATTTCAGGGTGCAGCATAGAGGCCAGTGTGGTGCTTCTGACTCTAGAAGTCGACTTCTAGCAAAAACCTTTTTTTCCAATTTGATTAGCTAGTCAGTCAGTTTCTGTTAGTCTGCAGTTTCTGTTGGCATCTAGCTGAAGCAAGGATGATATGCCTGGACCAGTTGGTAATCGTAAGTGAAGCGGGTTAATGAATCATGGGATTTTGAACCATTCAAGTCTAATTTCCGTTGCATTTTTCTTGAAACGAGCATTATGAGAGATTATTGATAGTGGAAGATGAGTGTAAATAAAGCTTTCATAGATATTTCATTCTTGCTTGAGTCTTACCTGGTGTTTATAAGTCAGTCCAGGATTGTGAGAGCAGATGCTGACTTCAGTGTGGTTGAAATAAATTTGAAGTATGTAGAGTGGAGTTGAAGGAGATGCTGAGCTTATCAAACCTGAGTGCTCCAGGAGAAAAGAGGCTAGGGGGAGGGGCACGGCATTTATGCAGCAGGAGAATCCCAGTCTTGGTAGCACAGGCAGAAGAGCTTCTATTACTGTAAGTAATCTAGAGCTGATTGTATACTGTTAGATGCTCTAGGGATTATTAAGCAAATAATGATAGAGTTGCTTATTCTATTGTTATTTTAGTTCCTTGGGGGAGAGGAGGAAGCTACTTAGTTGTATCCAACGCCTGAGTCAAACTTACACCGATACAATGAAGGTAAGTGCATCCGAGCTTATTATCATGTCTTTCAATATGAAATGATATAACTCAGGCACGTAAAATTAATTTTTTTTTTTTTTTTT